TGGCTAAGCAGAGGGAGCATACACCTCCTAGTTCCTTGGTGATGCGTCCTACACCCTGAACTGTACCACCCTTAGCAACAACGCATAAGAAAACGTAAGAGGACAACCTCTGACAGGTATAATAAAACACAGAATGTCAAAATAATGTATATTTTGGGAATGAAGGAATTGAAAATAAAGACTCAAATCAAAATTAAAATAGTGAACATGACAACCAAATTCATGAAAGACATCCAACTTTCCTGTAACTCCTTTGCCCTTTCCCGTTTTCTGTCTCCTCTGTATAATCAAACCGACATTTGTCAAAACATTTCAGACCTAGAGCAAAAAGGCAAGTCTCACCTGAAAGTTAGGACAGTAAGTGGTCGATATGACTTATGACTGGTATTGCTGCTGAGTTTGCTACCCCAAAAGTCATGATGCCACAGGTCACCAAGTGGGGTTTCCGCCCTGAGGTCCTGAAATAAAATATCATTGAATACCACACTCTTAACATTTCTGTTCGATTCAAAGCAGCTAAAGCATAAACGAGTTCTATCTAATACAAACTTATTCTAATGTAGCTATATCAAGTGTCTTGTTGGCTCATTATTGACATCTCACAAGGTACTCGAGTTTCGAATGAAGGTCATGTCTTGCATGCCGGTCATCATAAAGGCCAAAGCACTTGGATTCTGTAAACAGGCAGAACTACGGGAAATTTTGTAGAGCTATGATGATTTACATCAGTTGAGAAACTGGTCCAGTAGCTGAGCTATAAAACACACAAAAAATATTTTTGTAAAATGTCTTTGATTGTAAGTCTAAAATATCTTGGGAAAGAGGCCAAGCACAAGCTGTTGGAAACAGTTATTTTTCTAAGAGTGCCAGTAGCACAACTACTAATGAAACCAAGAAAGATATACAACAAAGAGTAAAGATAGAAGCCAACCATTAGCTCTTTTAAAGCCTGCTATGCCTTTCTTTGCACAGGATACTATTCAAATAGTTGTTGTTGTTATTAGCACATGAAACCAAGATGTAAATTCCTCAGCATACTGCTCTAAAAGGAGATTAATAACAAAAGTTAGAAAAGAAGTTACTAGTATGCCAATTTGGGGCAAAGGAAGAGCTTACTCTTTCCTTTCATCTTAAAGGCATGTCTAGGGAAACAATCCAAACCACCTAAACTATTGAATAGAAAACATGCGCTTTGAAGAGGAAAAAAAATAAGGAGGTCACCTTTTTAAGCAAATTGACTTTGGTAGCATCCTCCTCAGTTTTCTATGATGACAAGCAGGGAAGCTCATTCTAACCTATTCATCTTCTCCTTACCCTCTCGTCCTCCTGTTCCCCGGGACAAATTCTAATAAGCACCAATTTATGCTGAAGTAAATGCACAGGTTAAATATATTTAAAGATAAGACAGAACCTAAGAGCACAACCATACTAGCGAATGAATAACTTCCATACAAGTGCTGGTATTACACATGCCATCAAGCACAAGTTACTTTATGCCCCTCCCACCCCCTAAATTGTTAAAAGGGGGCAACAAACCAAAACACATCAATCAGCCAATCCAAACAAAAGTGAGCAGACTACCCAAATTGCTAAACCCACGCAGGGGCTAACAAAGCTCAGCTTCCTGTGTCTTCTCCTTACAAGTTTCTATGTCATAACACACTCGGTTCACCAACTCCAGTCCCTCTCGAATGCTGCTACCTTTCACTTCACTCTGCAATATCTTGAGCTCCTCCTATGGCCTGCTAGCAAGGAGAGAGACTCGTTCTGTTGCTAGTCCCAAGGTACAGGCAAATCTCTTGGCCATGTGCAAATGCCGGCAGGCTGCTGCTAAACTGCATTTAAAATAACTGAGTTCTTCTTGCTTCTTGCTCTACACATTCTGTCCTTTATCCAGCCAAAAATCTGTAACTGCAGAAAATGATGCATTTCTATTGTTTGATCAAATGTGACCAATATTAATGGGCTAAAAAACAATTAGAAAGAAGGGGAAGCAGGCTAGAAATCGTAGCACACACTGTCACATGAAGTGAAGTACTCTCTATCAAGCTGGTAATCAAAATGTAGGGACAAATGTACTAACTTCACTGCCATTACTTAAACACTTGTGTAAGTTGCATCTGTGTTATGATGGAAGAAGTACCCTCCCTTTCTACACAACAGCTTGGTAGTTCAATCACTCACAGCATGTGACCTATTGAAGACTGTTTCTTCCATTTCTAACCACCAAGCTAGACACAAAGCTAGAGCAACCCTCCCACAGAGGCTGTGTTCCTGAAAGATCTCTGCTATTCCTGTGGAAGCTTTGTCACTGTGCTGAAAAGAAAGCAGAAGACTTTGAGAAGCCCTATACTACAGATGTGGATTAGCCGTTCTTGGGGAAAATCTTAATAGATGAAGCTTCACAGGGGATCCTGTTTCGACTTAAGAAATAACAAAGTGCAAAGCTTCTCTGCTCTCAAGATCAAGTGAGACACACATACAGAGCACAGATGTTTCTTCTGTCAAGTCACAGCTAAGAATTGTTTTTCCCTCCCAAGACTAAGTTTTGGCCTTAGGCACCTAAATTCCAATCCCATTCCTCACTTGTATGCACAAACCCTAAAGGACAATCTGATGGTCAGAGCAGGAGAGCACCTAATCAGCAGCCCACTGAAGTCTTTGCACTCTGCAGGGTGTGTGGGTGGGTGTGTGGGTGGGTGGGTGTGTGTTAGTAGGCGTTGTGGCTGGTATTCCAACCAATGACACTGTTCCTTACACGTTTGTCAGATAAGTGGACTATGAAAGAGACTTTTTTTTTGTTTAATAAAGGAATGACTACAATGTTAAACATATGGCTTTGATGCCACAAATTGCCTTCAATAACATGAGATGGGAAATATATTTGGGATGTATGAGCCTGGGTTTTCCTCTCCTTCAAAATCAGTCTGTTTTTATCTTGAATAGGAAGAATGCAGGAAAAGCTGAATACACAGAATTATTTAATGATCAAATTATACTTCCTTATAACCTGGAAATCTTCAGAGCACACAAGCAGTGGACTTGTTCATGTGTCTTTAAGTTCTGGGAGAGAAAGTCACTTACATGAGTTTTCTCACTCTATGGACTTACCCCAAAAGGGAAATGGTTTGCTCCAAGAGTCACAGCTATTTAAAAGTTATGTATGATTTCCTCTATCAGCACTGAATGTAGATACCAAAGAATCTCTAAATATTTGATTAGCAGCAACTTACACACAACAGGGTTCAATACTTGAAAAAAGGTCAGTTTTTCTACATAATGCTTTATGGAAAAGATGCCTTATGTCTGAAGTTTCTGCTAATCCAATTGTTTGTCTTGCCAAGCTAGTAAATAAAAACAGACAAAAATCAGTAAAAACGCTGCTCAAAATGACAAGGAAGAATCTGGAAAATAGCCTTGAACACCAATAAAATCTAATAACAGAACGCTGCACCATACGGTAGGCATGGGGCCAACTAACAGTGTATCTTTCATTAAAAAAGGAAAGACTGGGGGGAGGGCTAGTGAGGTAACAAAAGGGTCACAGTGTATCACACAAGAAAATACTGCGAAAGTAATGCTCAGCAGATCTATAAAATTACTTCACCTGCTGCCTCACATATTGAATGGAAATAAAATATGCTGTACACTATTCAAAAAACTCTCCCTTTGCTAGATGTTCTACTGCCCCATCAAACTGATAAACTCATCGTCTCCACATTTTTAGTATGGATTTTGCATTTCCATATATTTATCTGACTCCTGTGTTACAGTGATACCATCATCAAAATCTCATGCAATTTCCAGGAAGTAGCAGAAGATTCAGATGCAAAAAATACAACAAGTCTCACGTATTTTCAAGCACGTAGCCTATGTATGAACTAATCTATTCAAGTAATTGATTTAATTTCTCACAGTTGCCAACACCTATAATCCCAGGACAAGTTTTTGTGTTGCACAGATAAATTGAAATTCTTGAAAAATAAAAACTGAACGCATGGAAACTGCATGAGAACAAAACAATTAAACCTACCCCTGCCTTGGTTTCAACATCAGTTTTGTTTGCTCTTTCAGAAAGTTTCAGTGTTATCATTATGCCCCAAATAAAACTTTTCAAAAGGAGATATTTCCAGGAGTTGTGTAATTTAAAATATAATGGTTCTTAAAAAAAAAAAAAAA